CCCCAAAACCCCAAAACCCCAAAACCCCAAAACCCCTTTAGAAACTCTCAAAATTGGGATTACATTAATCTTCAGCTACTTTAAACAACAGGAGACTTTGGTAAACTAGGGTCGGAATTTTCCTCAGAAGGACTAAAATGAAACAAATAGTCTTCTTTATCTTCCCACTCGCGTACATGATATTTATCAAGCTTTTCTCCCTTTAGAATCTGTTCAATTTCTTCAGCAGTAAGATAGTCATACCAGAAGAGATTCTTGGCAAGGATCTCTACATCTTTCTTTTTAGACTTTAACAAATTATGCACTCTTTCATGTGATTCATCAAGAATTTCTTTCACTTTAAGGTCAACCATCTGAGTAAATTCATCAGAGGTATCATCTTTGGAGGAGCTAATGAAGGCTGCTCCTTCTTCTCCAAACATACCATACTCTCTTACTCCACTTTTTGCCATATTTGTAGCTTTTGGGAGATCCCGTCCTCATCCTGTGGTGATGGCATTCATGTTATCTGGACTGTACTGCTTTAAAATAATTTCTTCAGCAGCCATTCCTCCAAGACAAATGTCAATATGAGCTAAAAGTTTCTCTTTAGACAATGCAATCATGTCACTTTCGTCTGGGAGTGTGAATGTGGCACCTCTATTAGCACCCCTATTTACAATAGTAGCCTTGTAGAGCTTCTGGCTTCCCTCAGTATAGTATCAGGCAAGTGCGTGACCTGCTTCATGAATAGCAGTATTTAACCTGATTCTGTTTCCAATATGAAGATTCTTCCTTTCTATCCCCATTACTATACGGTCTTTAGCTTCCTCAAAGTCCTTCATATTAGCATGAGTCTTGTCTTTATGAACAGCATCAGCAATTGCATTGTTGACAAGATTTTCAAGATCAGCCCCTGAAAATCCAGGGGTCATTTTACCCAATTTTTCGACTTCAATTTCCTCAGAGACGTTTACCTTTTCGAGGTAAAGCCTGAGGATATCATTACGGCCATCAAGATCTGGCTTTGGGACATGAATCTTCTTATCAAACCTCCCAGGTCTTACTGCAGCAGGGTCTAGATCACCTTCATGATTGGTGGCTCCAATTACAATAACATTTTCTGATTCATTAAACCCATCCATTTCAGCAAGGATTTGATTCAGAGTACTTCTATTCGAACTATGCTCCTTTGCAAATCTTCTACTCTTACTTAATAAGGAATCAATTTCATCAATAAAGATAATACACGGAGATCTCTCTCTAGCGGTCTGGAAAAGCTGTCTAACTCTCTTTGCTCCAACTCCTACGAACATTTCATCAAAAGTAGAGCCAGTGCAAAATATGAAGTTTACTCCCGATTCTCCAGCAATAGCTCTGGCGAGCAAGGTTTTTCCGACTCCAGGATCTCCAAATAAGAGGACTCCTTTATGAACTTTTGCTCCTTTCTCTTTATATTTGAATGGATCTTTGATCATCTTGATAAGGTTCCTTATTTCATCCTTAATCTCTTCGATGCCTTTTACATCATCAAGCCTTGTGTCAATATCGTCGGCCATCTTGATTTCAAATTTCGCCATCTCATCAGGGGATTTAAAATCAAGGCTCCCCAAGAAAATTAGACCAACATACAGAAGTACTCCAAAGCTGAGTACATTAAAGATGATATCTATTCCTATAAAGGTCTTCTGGGTTCCAAACTTTCGTCTGTAACTCGTGTCATCTATTGAGGCGGACAGAGCAGCTCTGCTAAGAGCTGTGATATTCTCTAAAGCAAACCTATACTGTGAATCTAGTCTTTCTGTGTAAGGAGTATGCAGCTGTTCCAAGTGGTACATTTCATAAAGTCTCTTGACTACTCTATACTTGCCTCTTCTGTTGAGCTCTTTAAAGTAGCGATAAGCAGAGCCTTCAAAGGCATCGTAATTATATTCTCGATCTCTTTGACTGATCTCGTACCTATCTTCTAGCTTCCTTAATTTCTCATCTGTGTAATCTCGAGATTTAACATGATAATTCTCCGATAGATTCCTTTTACTTAAATGATGTAAATTAAACACAGAGGTAGGTCTGACATACTTAAGGGAGGTCATTCTTCCTCCTCTTACAGTCCGTATTACCCTACAATACTGCACTAACCTCCTCGATTGTAACTTTGACAACATCTCTATTCCTCTCAATAATAATATTCTTAAAATATACTAATTTTTCCTCCAACATTCACAAAGAACCAAGGGGTTTTGGGGTTTTGGGGTTTTGGGGTTTTGGGG